TGGGCAATTTGTCATACTTAAAGTCTACCAAAAAACTCTTTCCTTCTTTTTTCAGATTTGTACCCTTTTTGCAAAGGTTTCTCCACGTTCAAGCACACCCTGATCCTCATATACGGCTCTAGTTTCTCCCTATTCTTATGATCATCATAATATATAAACTTTCCAATAAAACCACCTAATTTCCTTGCCGTACCCAAATTGACAAGGCTATAAGGAACATTATGAACCTGAACCCAGAATTCAACCTCATTTAAAACAACCTTATGTGGAATATCATCAGGTTTTAATTCTCTTAGTAACAGCAAATTACGCTCAAATTACCATGGGCCTTCTTCAATAACACGATTCATATCAAAACGATGATTAAAAGTAAAGAACTACCTTTTTTCACCCAAATCTTTGAACGTCATACCCTTACTCAGCCGCCATAGTGACAACATGAGATCCTTTAGGGCTGAGAACTTAACCTGTCTATCCGTGAGCAGCACCCCTATCACCGGGAATCCTGAGTTTTGCACCTCCACCGGCACCGGGTTCTCCTCCGGATCGCCCCCATCCAGGTCCAACATTTCTTCCTCTGTTCCAATTGATATCTTTTTATATATATCCAAGAAACCTTCCATCACGCCTTAGGAGTCATGATTCGCCTCGTATAACCTGAATGTCACCGAAGACCCAGCCTGTCTTCCCCCAGCCCTGAACCTATTTCTCGAGATGGTCGAAGCCTTCCAAACATAAAAAAAAACGCCACCTGACCTTGCAGCAGAAGGAAAGAGCGAGACCGAGACTCCTTAGAGAAGCCCGAAGAAACGAAAGCCACACCCTAATCGTCGAAATCGATGGTGGTGGGTAACCCTAGGCGGCCGAGAACTTAGAGAGAGAGGCTCCCAGTTCACTTATCTAACTTCCTTAAACATTAGATAAGTGAAAATATATCCATCTAACATCCTAAAATATTCTAAAATATACAACTACTTCCTTCAAACTTAAACAACATTCATTATATGAGTTTGACTACAAGATACTTGACAACCCAAAACTTTTTTTATTTATGTATAACACAATCTAAACTAGTATGCTCACCCGTGCGATGCACGGGATGAAAAATACCGAATTAAAAACCGCAAACCGACCTTAATTAATTTAGTTTGAAATTTCTTGACGCTCTGGGTAATTTCGTTTTAGATAGCCTGAACAGAAATTACCAAACAAAATCCGAAAATCGGTCGCACTTGTGATCTCTAAATCCATAACCCAACAACCTAATCAATATACCGGAGACAATATCCTTAAATAATTGGAAACCCCCGTTATTTAAAACATACTAAATATAAAAAAATGGATTTGATTTGTTGGTGATTTTGGAGACTATAGACCGTGTTTGTTTTTTGGCGGATCTGAACCTAACCGTTGCAAAATGCAACATTTTGCTTTAGAAAAAATAGCGGATTGAGGAAAAACTGTCTTTACCCAACCGCAGGCTATTATTTGTGTTATTTTGTGTGACTTGTATTTTCGGGCGATGAATATCAATAGACGACATGATGATTTCTCGCTTGACTTTAACCCAAGATATTGAAAACACGACTTGGACCAAATATAACAGTACTTGTTCTAGTTTTAATTTTCACAACCTTAGATTTTAGGGCTGTTCTTCAGGTTTACCAAACTGATCCATCGCTATTTAAAGGCAATATCATTAACTTTTTCTTTCACATATAAAATTAATCACTTAAAAATCAATACTTCTTATCTATTACTCCATTTGTCCCTTAAAACTTTGCTATCTTTCTGTTTTATGACGTCCCAAAAAACTTTGTCACTTTCCCTTTAAATCAATTATTTTGTGGTTTCTGTTATTTTCTCTTTCCTCTACACAAACCTCAACCATACGGTTTTTAGTTTATTGTTCTTCATGCCGGTCAACTTTGATAAAGTTTTAAGGGACGGATGTAGTATAAAATACCCATGTTGCATAAAACTTTGACATATTTGACGTTTTCAAATTTCAATTCAACAGCGGTAAACTTTCACAAATAGTTTTGATCAATACGGAGCATATTTTTGTACAAATGAAATGTTTTATACTTTTATATTTTTATAAATCTATTTTTAACAAAGAACATTTAATATTATTTTTATATTATAAATAATTCTAGACTATTGTTCCCACCTTAGGCGTGGGTTTACCATTTGAACATTAAAGTAGAGTACCTGTGCGATGCACGGTTGGTGAAGTTACACATGTACAATTACATTTAGTCAAAATTGAAAAAAAAACGAACTTGAAATTTAATTAAAATGTTTAAAATTATATTCTGTATGATAATAAAGTTTAACGTAAAATAAAATATACTATGTATTCAATATGATTTACCAATAATTGTGAGAAAATGTTTAAATCCATTTGACTATTTCAACACATCACTTGAATCCATACACCAAAAATAACAATATCATTTAGGCATATTATTGATAAATTCATCCAATGCAATCGCTTCAATTAGAATTGTATCAATTTGGTGAATTTTCTCAATAAATGTTTTTTTTTGATGAGAAGAGACTTAACTATCATTAATCAAATCGTTGGCCAAAGCCGGGACAATACAAGAAGGAGGAAAATGAAGCCAAGATTTTTTCTCAATAAATGTTAGTTAAAATAGAAATCTATTAAAAATTAGGCCATTAAAAATTATTGACACATATAGGACAAAAATAAAGATGATAGAGAAAATATGTGACATTTTATGAGTCCGGCTCCTCTCCAGTACCTACGGTAATGGACATCTCCATTACATTAATTAGATAGCTGCCACATGGCCACTTACTAAATCAATGGCCAGGATTTCATTTTTGTTAATATTGCTCCCAATTTCTTTTTTAATTGTTATAACAACTACACTACGCACTCTTATCTGATCAAACCATCTCCGGAAAAAAACCCGCATGACTAATCCTGGCTTATTCTTTACTGCCTCTGCTCTTTGAATTTTTTTCTTGATTCTTCGCTAGGGAGGATGGAGAAAGAATGCTTTCAGCTCTACATCAAGAAAACATAATCTATATGTTTGTCAACAATAAAAGAGCTGATTTGTTGATGATTTTGGGGATGGAAGTAGTTCAATTTAATTTTAGCTAATTTTTTCTGTAACAATACATGATGGATAGCAGTTTGCAGCTTATATTTAATTGAAGGTTGAAGCTTTTTGTTTATTCGTTAATTTACGTTATAGATATCAGCTTGAGACTTTTGATGATTATTCAAACTACAATTTTTTAAAAAATTAGACATTAAAGTGCTGGTTGTGACTTTGATGTTTGTTTCTTAATCTATTTCATGAATTATTTGCAGTAAAGATGATAGCAGATGGAAAAGAGAAGAAAATCGAATGGGTAGATAGAGATGACTCTAGTGAGACTGGAAATGTTAAAAATTAGAAGAAGAAAAATGGGCCCAATAAATACTTCGAAGAAGTAAAAGACTTCAGGGCATAAACCAATTAAAAGGATAAGAATGAGATCTGGACCTTTGATTTAGTAAGTAGTCATGTGGCAGCTCCCTATTTAATCTACTGGAATCATCCAGTACCGTATGTACTGGAGAGGAGCTGCACTCACATTTTATACAAAGTATTACGGAGTACGACATATATAATTAATACTCCATAACTTTTACTCACTATACTTAAACTTAAATTTACAATATGGTGACAAAGATTTAATTAATCAATAAATTTCATTTTAGTTGTCGGTAATTTGTTTTTTAGGAAAATACATCCCAATTAAAATAGATATTCTCAATAGGCCTGGATTAATTATCCACCGGTACAAAACTTACAAATCTGTTGAAATGAGGTATTAGCCTGTTGGTAGATTCTATGGTACCCATAAGGTACCGTACATTTGTCCACATGGACCAATCAGAATTATGCAGTTGAATTATTTAAATCTAAATTAAAAGGGATTTAATGATTTGGATCAATAAAATGCATGGTAGGTACGGTACCCCCATTTTTTAAATGGATACCGGGCTGTTACCCCTCCCCCCAAACCCGAGAGATACACATGTTAATCTAATGTCTAACCGCCTCTTCCAGCCAATTAAATTTGATATTCTCCTTACTCAATACTTCGGAAATATCTCACGCTCTTAGTTGTTCGGCAACCTTTACTTGTCTCCACCTAGCCAGTGAGCCAGAAACATTCAGATCCACACTTCTTCACCAGTTTTCAAGCAATCTAGCACCCCATAGAGAGTCATCGGGCATATGAGCTTCACCCAGACGCCTTTCACAATAAGAATTCGGTGTTATTGCATTTTCGGTTCACCTATCCTCGGCGCTTCAAGCAGCCATCGGCTTCCCTCGAAGTGCCCCTATTCATTTATCCTGCACAGGTAAGAAAAACATCCTCCACATAGATGCATGTCTAGAATAAAGCATGTAGTGAATTTGGAGAATATGATTTTCACCCTCACAATCATACATCCGAAGTTGAACTAACAGATCTCTATTTTTATACGGAGTAATTATTACTCCGTATGTGCGAATTGGTGTGAGAAGTGTGATGCAGGAGTACTGCTTTTATAGTTAAATTGTTGAGAATGGCGTGTCAAATTGCATTCACAGTGTTCACCGCCCTTTACAATCAATAGAAACAACAGAGTTTAACCATCAATCGACGATTTTCTGTCAACAGCGATCACCCCCCTTTTCGACCAATAGCAGTTTTCAAAATACATCTCACCCCTGCGCACCTCTTTGTGGACCAATAGTAACGGCTTAAACTCAATCCTTCGTGTCTTTGATCGAGTAATTTATATGTACAATACATTTTTTGGTATTTATTTTGACAAATAACTAAATAAGGATTGAAGTTGACGTTCACAAACTTCTTTTGTTTTTATATATTAATTAATAGATATTACATTTAATCCAGTACAAAATATTGGCCCCGTGTTCATTAAATGGATTAATGAACCCAAAGTCCAGCCTCGTATATGGGAAGAAAGATAGAAGTCCATAAGGGAGAAAGAAAAAAGACGAAGTTCACTGCGGTTAAAGATCCTCCGGCGAAGAGAAATAAAACCTTTCCGTGCTCCGTGACTCCGTTTGCGCTCGCAATTGACCCTCGCAATAGCCAATAGAGGCGTCAATTGGCTTCCGTCGACGAAGAGGCGGTCGTCGATCGTCTTTCAGCGTTGGCCAAGTACGAACTAGGAACGAGGCTCCAGCTTTCCATATCCTGATTCCAGGTTCTTAAAATTATTAATCTAAGTATTTGAACTTCTGTTTTATTTTATCTCAATACATTCAATTAGATTCTTCGATTTTGATTATAAGGGGTTATGAAATGATGTGTGTGTTTTAGTTTGATTAATGTTTGTATTGTTTGGTTGGTTAATGAAATGAACACAAACTTGTTTTAGAGCTAAACAAATAAAGCGTAAATAAAAAAAAAACTCGTTTGATAAAAGTCTGATAGTTTGGTCTGACAAACTTGATTGTATAAAACTAATGGACACTATAACTTCATTCACAGAGCATATTAGCTATGTTTTACACTAGATGGGATTCATATCGCTAGCTCAATAGAAGGAAGAAGGAGTTGATCAAACTAATGCACACTATTGAATTTTCCTTTCAAATTTTAATATAACATTGGGGGCTGATTTTCCCTCACTGGGCCTCTCAAATTATAGGAAAAATATACATGTTTATAAGATGACTAATAAGCTGAGAAACCAGGTAGTAAGCCAGACTAATAAGCTCAGAAACCTGGTATCTTTTGGGAGGCTGCTTCTGTATCTTTTCTGTTTTAGACTTTTAGTTATCTTCTCTATCTGCAAACTTGGAACTTGGAACTTTAAGTTTCTGTTTGTTGTTGAGTTGTTGATTTTAAGCCAAAAACTGGGAAGCGGTTTTTTTTAGTATTTTCAAACAAAGCCTTAAGATAGTGCATGCTGTAGATTTTCAGAATTTCTGTTTGGTTGAATGCATGACTAATATGCAAAACTCGGACCGAACCAACCCGTTTCAAACGGGGCGGGTAGGGTCTAGTTCCTATCATTAGAATTCACTTACCCGGCCAACTTACCTGGCGGTTCTTATTTTTTTTAAGATTGCCGACCCATGCCCACCCCTAGTCTATGTAATTTAACGACTACATACTCAAAAGTCCACCTATGTCATTTCCACCCATATTCAGAAAAGAACTATTAGATCGATTCCTATAATTTTGGACTTCAGCTTTTTTCGGTTCGGTTCCTATAGTATAGGATCGGTTCGGTTCCGATTCGGTTCCGGTTCTTATACATTGCATGCGTAATCTTCATTTCAGATGCTTCTGGGTGGAATTTTTTGATGAAATTTTGTGAGCTTATTTTTCATGAAGTATAGATTATGTCCACCAAATGTGAACTTAAAATTCAATCGGGAAGTCAGTTAAATAAATTATTGAAAAGTACTACGTCAAAATATATGTAAAAAACGCAATGTTTTTCAACATTTTATTTAACTCACTTCCCGGTTGAATTTTAAGTTGAAATTTGGTGGATATGATATACCCTTCAAGTAAAACATGCTCACAAAATGTCATCAAAAAATTATACTCGGAAGCACCTCAAATTGAGGTGGCCAGACGGCGATTCGGGCAGAAAATTCTTATTAGAAATATTTGTCTTGCATAATACGTAGTATTATGGATCAGGCCAATCCGAGTAATTACTTTTAACTAGTTTAGTCCACTTTTATATTTATTATTTTTTATGAATTATATTTATTGTTTGTTTGTAATTGTATTTGTTATTTGAGTTCACCTAAAAAAAGGAATTAATATGCCGCTGATTACATTGTTATTTGTTCATAATAAATTACAAATATTACCAATCAGTTTATAACTACGTACTTTTTACTTATGGTGCATTATTAGTAGAAGAACTTATTGTGGTGTTGAAACTACCTGATATTGGATGTGTACCTTGGAGCTGTTAGGGTCTGTTTGCAGCAGCTTCTGCTTTTAAAAAAGTGCTTTTTTAAATGAAATGGGGAGAAGTAATTAAATAAAAGTTGATAGTGTTTGAGAAAAAAATGATTTTGAAAAGTAAAAGTGGGTAGTGTTTGATAAAATAAGTGCTTTTTGTGTAATAGAAAAAGTAAAAGCACTTTTGACGCGGAAGTCGTGAAAAATAAAAGTTGTAGTGTTTGGGAAAATAAGTGCTTTTTTAAAGCCAAAAGCTGAGAAGTGCTTTTTTAAAAGCAGTTGCAAACTAACCCTTAAACCTTTTTGCTTGACAGTTGATGCCTATTTTAAACCTTTATGTTTTTATTATGTTTAAATTTAATGTTTGCACTTGGACTTTTTTGTGATATTTGAACATTGGGATATAAGGTATGTGTAATGTAATGGTCATAATTTCATGATTTGAAATATGATTTTTTTTACGTAACTGAAAGTAAAATGTGTTCGTTTTATTAGGATAATAAATTTTTATAAGGAACCGAAAAAGGGTAAGAACCGAACCGAATTTAATTAGAACCGAACCGAATTTAACAACTACATTTTTAACTAGAACCGAACTGAACCGAATTTAACGCGATTTTTAATACGGCTCCATCGAATTTTAACAAGAACCGAACCGATCCCAGGCCCTAATAGGGGCAATAGATCAGCCACTAGTCATGGACTCATGGCCCAACTTATTTACCTCAAATCCTTATTCTAAGTTGCCCCTCAAATTCCTAAGATACCATTTGCATTAATTTGGCAAGCTTGTGGTCATAAACTTCTTTATGATACTAATAATGCTGCTCAAGATTGAGCAGACACCTAATTGCACATTGTAAATTGCATTTCTGTTTGTTTATGGAGATACCATTGGAAAGACAGGAAGCTCAAAGTTGGTTAAGAGTTGATTTTTGAACTGGAGACTTTAGATACTAGCTTTTGTTCCTCTTTGTGTTTTTTTTTTTAACTTCATATTACACAGTTAACGGTTTCTGTTAGTACATAGTCATTCTATGCTTTGAAATGTGAAAGCAAAGTTAATTTCCTGCGCTTGCACTGGATTCCCGCTTGTTTGCCTATGCTTGAATAGTTGACATCGTCAAGGGTAAATCTTCTTTTTAATTTTTTGCTGGACAAAATATAAATTAAGTTCACATAAAATGATTCTCTTTTGGGAATAAGGCTTGGTTGTTTTTGTTACATAAAATTATTCCTTGTAATGTGATTTTTCCCCATATAAAATTATTTCTTCTAATGTTTAATTGCTTCTTCTGTATTGTATTCCTTCTCAGGTCTAGACACTCTGGCTTCCTCAGCAAACGAACAGCGAGATCTATTGACTCCAGCTCCCTTTAATTCTTTGTTCCAACTAGAGACATAAAGACATGCTAGGGTTTTCATACGGAGAGTTGTTTCTATTGCTTGGAGCTACTGCGGCTTTAATTGGTACTCTTCCTCTGTAATGGCAGTGTAAACTGTCTTCGATTCACCCGGTTTTTCATTATAGTTCTGATAATCCTGTTTCCTATTCCCAAAACTTGCTTCTCAGTATGAGATTGATTATATCCTTCATGTGTTGAGTTATATATGATGAGGCAGGGTTTTAATTTGTCAGGACCTAAGGACCTTCCAGTCATAGCAAGAACTGCTGGGAGGTTATCTGGCCGTGCTATTGGCTATGTTCAAATGGCCCGTGGTCAATTTGAGAGTGTCATGCAGCAAACTCAAGCTCGACAGGTGTCTTTTCTCTTCCTTCACCTATTTATTTAGGTGTTTACTCTTCTTTTAACTTATACGTAGTATATAGTAATCATCATTCGATATAGATGTATACTCCAGTATCTTTTTCTCATATCGGACATACTTGTGTATGGCGGGGATGATTTTTTTTCTGGGATTTCTCTTAAAGGTCCATAAAGAGCTACAAGATACAATTGCTCAATTAGAAGCCATACGACATGAAATCCGAACCATTTCTTTTGTGAATCCGGGTCCATTAACCACAAGGCTAGTTGATAACATAAAAAACCACCCACCCACTGCTGGTGCTGGTACATCGGTGGAAAATGGACCTGAAAAGTCTGAAAGTAAGGGCACAACTATCAGTAACACACCCAAGGTACTTGCCATCTCTATATATTCATTTGGAGTACCAATTTTTCCTATCATTTTCCAATTAAAGGATTGATGTAGCTGTACTTGCAGGATTGTAACTTTAAGCCCTCAACCCCTTCTGATATGAACAGTCAAGCAACAGCATATGCAAAACTCGCTGAAATCACATTATTAAAACCCAAGTATGAAAACTGCGAAGCTCTGGATGAAGTTCCGGATAAATCTGGTAATCTTGTGCTTCCAGTCTCTGCTAAAAGTGCAGGTCTGTTGCCTGATCATACAGGTATATGTCATCTTTTTTCCTGCCCTCTGTCCAAAAATATTAGTTTGTTTGAAAACTTATCGTGCTGTCACAAAAGAAGCTAATTTTTATAATACTGAATGTATTCTTTATTGTATCCTCAAACAAGTTAAGTATGTTAAATCTATATAAAGCAACAAATAATTTTTAAAAACATAGCTGAATTTTGCTATTTCAAGTGGTTGTACCTCACAGAAATTAATCGGGTGTACATTTGTTAAATTGACCTTTTCAGTGACATAGTTAGTTTTGTTTGCTTATTTATATGGACCAGATTCTAGAGGCGGGGTTTTTTCTATTTTTACCATTGGTCATCTCAAAACAGTCTCTCTGTGCTTTTAGCACAGGGGTTAGGCTGCGTACATCCAACCCCCTTACTCCACTGTAGGTGGGAGCCTTTACGGCACTGGGGTAATGTTGTTGTTGTTGTTATTTCCTATTTTTATCTTTCATTATTTTTTAGCTTGAGAGTATGATGGAATAAAGCAAAATGGCTCACCAAACTGTCTGCTCTTCTTTGTTATGAAGCAGCAGTCAGTCCATGCAATTTTGGACGCGATTTTCATTATGGGTCATCCGGAAACAGTCTCTCTGTGCTATAGTATAGGGGTAAGACGGCGTACATCCGACCCCCCCTTACCCCACCGTAGGTGGGAGCCTTTGCGGCACTGGAGTAAATGATGATTGATGATTTATCTTTTCATCTTATCTTTTTTTGTATTTATCTTATCTTTGTTTATCTTTTTATCTTATCTTTATCTTTTTATCTTTTTCATCTCTTTAAGTTCCGGTTTCATATACCGATTCATGTTAGCTGAACCCAAACCCTTTCGAGACCACGTCTCGGTTGTTGTTGTTGTTGTTGTTGTTTCATTTCTCTATTTTTAGGAGTTGGTGGTTTTCGTAGGGGAGGGGGAGCAAGTGGAGAGGCGTCTTATTCCTAGGGTTTGGGGGGATAGCATACCTTATCTACTCTCACGTCGTATTAAATAGTACCATTTTTTTGTCTGAATTGTGCATCACTTTTGATGTACTGGGATTGGAGGATTTAAGTTGTGGGTTGTTGCTCAGGGAGGTTGCATGAATTTTCCCTTGATGTTTAGGCAGTGGCATGAACTTACCCTTCAACTCCGGGCATGACCTTAAGTAAGTACGTCCTGCCGTGTGATAGAGCTATACCTTGGGGGATGCTTTATTGATGATGAGCCACATCTTTGGCTTCAAGCAACTTTTTATGCATGAGGCTGCATCACGAACATCACCCCTTTTAACATATATATATATATATATATATATATATATATATATATATATATATATATATTTATTTACATGTCTCATCAGTCATCATCAAACTGTTCACAATAAATCAAATAGAAGCAGTAATTAATGTTCACTTTTTCTTGAATTGCTTGCTCTAGCTGAAGCAAAGGGATCTGACATTGTGCTAGAAGCTATTATAGAGGCAGATGTGGCACAAAATGCAAAGAAGTTTTTCTCACAGCCCCAAAATCAAATGAAATGTGAATAGAGGTACCTGGTTATTCAATATAATAGTGTAGCTATTCAGATTAACCGTTTGATTGTGTGACATCTATCGCGTCTGATGGCTTGGGAAGTGTATTGATTTGCAAAACTAGGTCATTTCACCCCAGATTACCTTCTTGGAGTTCTCACTATGATTAGAATGTCCTTTGGTCCTAACATATCAAAATCCTAGCTCAGCACACATAATTCAACGTATGAAGTATGTAAAACTACTCGGTTAACAACCTCAACTGATATGTAGGTGTTAGGAACTGGAAACAGGAATGTCAGGGCAAAGTTAAATTCTGGGTTAATCAAAGACACAAATTTACCGTCTCTATAGAGGAAGAGTACCCATTAGAGTTGAAGTAGCTCTGAGAAATGGAAAGAACTCTGCATATGAAAAGAGTTTTAAGCAGTGAGATAAGGCAATGTTTTGAGGAGCCCTAAAAAACTGTAGGTGGATGAGGAAGACCAGATGCGTAGGCGTAGCTTCTCAGCAGGGTCTAGTAGTAGTTAGGCAGGGATCTTAAAACTGTCAGTTATATACCCATTCTCACATGTATTTTTTGTTTCTGTTTTATTTCTATCTTCTTAATGAATGGAGAGTATATTTATCCAATACAGTCATGTTATATCGTGAAAAACTAAAAGCGATACTATCAACATGACCAAGAAGGCATCCACTATTTTTTTCTTTCTATTCCGTATCAGTGTACGATCAATGCCAATGTATCATTAGTATGGTGTATGTTGCCAAGGTTATTTTAAACTCAAGATCCTAGCACGGATCGAAATTCGAAAGGGGTCGAAAAGACCGTAACTTGTGGATCATAACTCGCATCATAAGATCATAGAAACAAAACTACCATGCTATTCTTATTCGAAAACCCGAAGCCTTACTTGATTATTAAACAGGTCATGACTTAAACAGGCCAGGCCTTAAACAGTTCAGGCCGCAGGTCCCTGACAGGCCGTCTAGCCTATTCTCACCCCTACCTAGAATATAATCAAGAGCTGTCAAAATTTTAACTTAGGATGTATTCTTTTGGACAATTATTTGTTGGTCTATTCTTGTATGCTTAAGTCTGGTCTGAGCTAGTCTGGTCTATGTGTATTTTATAACTATCAAAGTCTGATCTGGTCACTAGTCTGGTCTGGGATTGAAAACAGTTCAAAAGAAAACATTGTTATATGGATCACATAATTTGTTCGCACAAATTTTATGGCGAATTTTTTTTATATTGAGTATATTTGGTGTGCACGAGACATGATTTAGTTAAACATTTGACATTGTCACATTTGCATGCCCGGGCGGCATCTTTGTTTTAAAGCATGAAAAACAACTAAAAAATGATTAATGACTTAGGATGTTTTTACTTGAACTGTTTTGAGTTCCAGATCAGACCTAAACAGACAAGATCAGACTTAAACAGACTAGGCCAGACCAGACTTAAACGGACAAATTTGACTAGACTTGACTTTCGTTGTTATAAAATACACGGAGACCGGACGATAGACGTTTATCAGACCATACCAGACCAGACCAACAAATTACAGTCCAAGTGAAAACATCCCTAATGTATTACTCACTCCGTCCCAAAAAGGTTGACCAAATTTCCTTTTTTGGATGTCCCAAAAAGATTTGTCATTTCCATTTAAAGTAAAGAATATGTGGCTAAAACTAATTCTCTTTCCTCTGCACAAATTTCAACCACGCAGTTTTTACTTTATTAATCCACGTGAAAGTCAACTTTGGCCAACCTTTTCAGGACGAAGGGAGTACTACTTTACATTAGGGAGAGATTGCCAGAATTACCCCTGGATTATTTTCAGCCCAAAGCCCCAAATGCTTAACGTGGTCCTCTTCTTCCATCCCCCCCCCCCCCCCCCCAATAAAAAACTGAAGTTGTGGCAACAACAATGAGGCTCTAGAAGGACGAAGAATTCACTCTATAGTGAGGGTGGTCGACTGCACAATTGAAACCGCTGCCGACAGTTGCCTTTTCCATGCTTCTTCTCTCATTCGTTGCTTCTGTCTACCATCCCCACACTCTTCCTTTTCTTGTGGGATTGAGGCGTGGTGGTGTCGAAGGGGCTAGGCATGGTGGTGTTGGAAGGGCAGGGGGTTGGGGTGACACATGGGAGGGGGCTGGGGATGGGGCGTGCTGTGTTCGATGGTGGTGGTTGACGATAATCATTTTCAGACCCGTGTAACTATAAATGGTCGAACTCGGTAACTGTCATTGGTCGATTTGATAACTACAACTAGTCAAATTAGATAATCGTAACTGGCATGTCGGGTAATTGTAATTGACCCATCGGGTAACTGTAACTGGTAGGTCAGATAACTGTAATTAGCGGGTCGGGTTACTATAACTGATGGGTCGAGTAATTGTAATTGGTTGGGTAACCGTAACTGGTCACTGTATGGGTCATTTGGGCCTAATGAGGGTATAATGGTCTCCATACCCATTTTTAGTCTCATTTTATAAAATTAAAAAAAATGTCACTTTTTTTTTATCCAATTGTGATTGTTTAGTAAAATTCTTGTTTTAGTCCCAAATAACTACACATTTGATTTAAAATTACACTTGTATGACTTAGATCAAAGATGCAAAAAGGTGGTTAAGGCCCTAGCTGTCGTCATCGTTAATGATGTTGGTATTTGGTCAAGTGGAGATGTGCCCATAAATCCATAATCAAATAAAATCTTTGGGAGGGCCAACCTCAAAGAACATAAAAAAGGCGTCATATATAGTTTCTACATGATAGTGCCGGCCGTGTATATGCAGATCTAGTAAGAACCACCTGGACTTGTGTGGTTCATGTTGGAGTTGCTTATACTTTGAAAATGCATTCTTAAATAGATTTTAGAAAAAAAAGCTTAATAATGGTTAAAGTTGGTAACTCTTGAGATAAATGCGATTTTGAGAAAATAAAAGCTGATATTGATAAGAAATGTTTTTTATTTAATACAAAATGTGAAAAATAGTTTAAAGCACTGTTCATATGCTTCTAGCTTTTAACTTTTAGCTTAATTTAAGTAAAAATTGTCACTTGAAAACACTGATTTTAGATTTTTAGCAAAAACCCTGAAAGTAACAATTTTAGCAAAAACACTTGTATCTTTTGCAAACATTCCCTTATTATCTGTCTATCTCCAACCGATTTACAATTTACTTTTTTAGATGGATGAGAGATGAAATTACTCTTATATTCAACTCTAATAAAAATAACAAAATATTTTATGTTACTGAAACAGAATGTGTAGATAAGAATGTGACTACTATAACGGGTCACATTGTACTGTGGTCAACAAAAATTACTCATATGATAACTGTGTATTGTAAGTCATACTTTTGCCCATTTAAATAAACAAATTAAAGTGTTTCTCTAATTGAATTGTGGAATTCTATATTGGAACAAAATATAAATCAACGCATAATACGTAGTATTATTGAACACAAAGTAAAAATGAAAAATACGGAATATTACTTTAAAACATCTGTTGGATAGCAGTATGAATAGTTATTTTCAAGAATAGACCTTTATAATCACCATTTTTTAATATGTTGTGCTCAATATAAACTTCGTACTTAATTTACCTAATCTATCGTGTATTTCTTGAATCATGCTTTATGGAAAACAATTTTTAAAAATCTAGCTTTGACAGTAAAAAGCTGCTCTAGACTTGCAAAAATAATGACCTAAAACCTCGTAACATTTTCATAGAATCAAAGTAGCAAAAACTGGTTACCGGATGCACTCATGCACTCTTTGTTCCTACCTCCTTATGAATAAATAATGGTATGAATTGATCATAATGAATGCATACAATTAACTGATCTATCATAATTAATTTTCTACATGCTAAGAACGCACATTATTCTGCATGTTACACTAATTCTCATTTCAAATTAATAAATTAAATCATACCCATAGCTAGAGCTTGATGGATTTTCCTAGCAGCATAATTAGCTTTATCTGTTGACCATTAATGCAAAACGAAGGTCCAATATATGTAATTCGTAGCCAGCCTAGCCTCAGGTATGGATCACGAACAATGATCTTCATAAGTAATACTAGGAAATGACTGAGGAGTACCATCCAACAAGCAGGAGATAGGAGGAATAGTGGCAGTAACCTGATCCCCATAGGCATTCCAACAGAAAGGGTCTGAAATTCTCTGCCCTTGTGAAGGGTACAGCTCAACCTCGGACAAGGTTAAGTTGGTACACGGGACAGTTTCGCTGCAGGCCAAGTGCATTGGAGGGCTTCTGATGTCAAAAGTTCCCTTGATCTTTGAGTATGTCACACCTGATATGGACACTCCGTAGGTCTGGTTTGTGCAGGAGACGCCAGCGGCATGGTTGCAGTAATACTGGTCTATTATGATGGGGTTCCGGACGTTGTCCATTCTTATGTTGTCAAAGGCAACGTTGGAAACGGATCCGGACCCACCCTGCCACGTCTTGATCCGGACTCCGTTGTCAGAATCCTGGATGCTTGAATCCCTCACCTTTATGTTTGATACACATGCCCTACTGTTTTTCATGCCCAGGCTGCCAATACTGCACCCAATCAAATACATACACACATGCATCACTACACACTCAAGCACTCATATACTATACTCCCGATCTCATAAGACGGTTATATTGATTTTTCTTGACCAATGATGGTCAAGTTTGACTCATCGTATTTTTAAAACAAGATTATTCAAAACATAAAAAGTTATACTCGATTTTTGTCATTTTTAGTTAGTCATCTTTCACTTTTCTGATGAAAAATGCTAGACTTTGACCGATAATCTAAAATATTATAATGGTGAATGAAGGTAAGGATACTTTGGGTATGAAAAATGTGTTGGTGTAATCATATGCTAATATAAGCTTGTACTTTTGGCTGAAATGTATGTGTTTTATTTTGTCTAATATATTTAATACCAGATTAACCATTCACTCCGTTAGTTAACTGTTAACCTACCTACAGGCTTTCGTATTAGTGGTGCGTTTCTTTATGTACTTGCCTCTAATCTTTCCTTGTTTTTTCCCTTAATAGATATACTACGTACTCCGTAACAACTAACAAGCTTTTATGAGTATGTATGTCCTTTTAATTTCCTCTCTTTCCCAAGCAAAGAAATAGAAATTACAGAACCGCCAAAACTATTCTTTTTATAAATTCAAAGCGTGTTTGGTGACAATCAAATTGGTTGAGTAGGTTGAATATACTAATTACTAAAATAGAAGAAATGCTAACTGAAGTGTTTGAATTGTTTGGATAAAATTATATTTAAAATATATTTTATTTATTGATTAAAAATACATTTATAGAAAAATAATTAAGGTTGTCCTCTATAGTAGGTTCAAACAATTCAGTAAAAAAGACTCTAACCTTATTTATTTCGGTTATTGCACAATTCAGTGCGAGAATTAAACAGACTCTTCAATAATTTTGTGAAAGATAGGTGACCTAATTATAAATATACTCCATATAACTTATCTGCTAATACCTCCGTCCTCTTAACATTGGTACAAGAGAAAGTGGTGTGGTTACCAAGAAAAATAAATTTATGTGATTGATAATGAATTAATATAGTGAAAAAAGTGATAATGATTTTGAACAACACAAATATTATTGAATTGGTATGAGACAATATTAATGAGAGGACAAAAAAGGAAAATGAGAATATCATAGTTGCACTGATGGAGTACGTTTTAAACAATTATTATCTTGAGCTTGTTTCTTAGTCTTTATTTTTGACTTATTAGTCTAATAAAATACCCTGATATTTTTTCATGACACATGCATTTTTTTTCTTAGATGCTAAATTGGATAATAAAAAAGTAAGATTACCATTACTTTTCAGGTAGATTTGCACAAAAATACTATTTGTGTTATTTTAATAAACTATATGCTTTTATAATTCAACACATTTAAATAAGGGGAAAATAACATAAATATGTTTTTGGTGACCGAGTGATGCACCTGTCAGACGAGTTGAGATGTGTGGAGAAAAGGCAGGGAAGAGAGGGAGAGGAAGGCCCAAACAGACGTGAGTTAGGGAAGTCCGAAGTTATATGCTTCTTCTTGGGTTGGATGAGAGTATGACTTTGGAGAGAGCAAAGTGGAGGGCGGGTATTCGTGTGGAGGAGTGATCTCGTATTATCTTTTCCCCTCATCTTTTTTCTTATTTTTTTCCTTTATCCTTATATATAAACATTATTTTTATCCTTTTTAGGTATATTCATGTCTTTTTATATTATCTTTTTCTAATAGCTAATCTTTTGTATCTTTATTTTCTTTCTTTTCCTTTTGATGGTGATATCATGTACAGATTCATGTTAGCCGACCTCATATCTTTTGGGACTAAGGCTTTGATGTTGTTGTATGATGTAGTATCAAGTTTGAATTGGCATACTTACCTCATACTCCTTAAAGGTTTGGCATATTAAAATTATTTCTCCCTTTAGATAATTTGATAACAATTTGATAAAATTTAAAAAAAAAAAACAGTCTATTCAATTAATTTCATCCTTACCAAAAGAGTTCTTAAAGTTGATCTTGAGCTGCAAGTTTTGTGAGCAATACTTTCTAGAGGTAAAGCGAGAAAGAGAAGACGGTGAAAAGAGAACAAAGGTGATAGATTCTTCAACAAGCGTGCAGGAGAAGGATATACTTTTTACTTTCTATCCTTATACACTACATTTTCACAGGGGTCTATAAAAGTTTATTTTGAGAATTATAATATTTTGTCAAGAAATAATCACTTCTCATCTTAGTATGCCCCAATTTTTTCCCTAAGCACGAGTGCTTTTCCATATCAATGATAATACATACTTTGAAAATGAATTCTAATAATATCAAATATTTGAATATACAAAAAAATGGAGACACTTTTAGACAAGAAATTCAATCATTTAGAACTTAAAAATTTTTATCAAACAAACAAATAAATTACTTTTGGCAATGAGGAAGCAGTCCAGCTGAGCCGGTCGCCAACTCGCTCTCTCTTATGGGAGGTCCCGGGTTCAATTCTCAAAGGAGTGAGATTGATCCCAATTTACCTCATGCCCCCCAAAACCCACCTCCCCCGACGCCCCCTGGGGTAAAAATTAAAGGATTGTTTTGGCAATATAGTCACTCATTTAATATTTTGATATTAATTTTGTAAGAATCAAATGACTGGACTTTTAGTAAAAAAAATGTTGTCTATTGTTTTTTTATACATTTAGATAATTGGTATTACTAAAAGGTATTACCAAAATACATATTATCCCTGCTTCATTGAAGATAAGTTGTACGGAGTATTATTTAATGTTATTTTCCCACAACAAAAATATTTATTTTGTATATTAGTGAACCTTATATTTTTCTTGGTCTTTATTTATTGTATCTTTCATTCGTATCTCATATAATATCACGTGAAGGTCTTTCGATCGAATGCGAATCATCAATATTTAGATATGTACCATATACTATCGTATTTATCAAAGATTCAAAGTGATAATGATACTTTTTGTTATGAAATCACGAAACTAAGGTCCAGTCCTTATATGTATTTGCATTTTTTATTTTATTTTCAGGTCCTCTTTCATGATGAAGAAATATTAAATACTTTATATTTAAGTTGCTCAAAATGTTAACATGTCAAATATTACAACTAATCATATCAAATCAACACATAATGTACATTTTTTTTTAACAAAACTTGTTGGGCATTATCTATATCGCGCAACGCGCGTGTAGAAAACTAGTATATTTATATGAGGAGTGTGAAAGTAGTTCTAATATGAAAATGTTTTTTGTTAACCATACTTTTTTAAAAGTACAAAGTTTATAATTTTAACCCAAAGTTGGACAGACTCACCATTCTTATTTTATTTTATTTTATTTTATTTTTCTAATGTAAGACTTTGACATAAGAACAACTTATTTTCCAGTAACTACAAATTAAATCGTATGCTTGATAAGCCTCCCCAACTCATTCTTCACAATGCAGTGAGTGTATAGTTTTAGAAAACTAATTATTATATGATTAGTGTGAAAGAGTTGTACCTAATCCCATGACCAGGGCCACAAGTCATGTTGGTTATATCTACATTGTAAGAGCCTGCTCCAATGGATATACAGTCATCACCTAAGCAAAAGTAGGATAAAAATGGATCAATATAACAATTAGCAAGTGGCATACATGGAACAAAGGAAACAATTTGATGGATTACTATACCATTGGAGACTATGGAGTTTTGTATAGTGACATCATAAGTGTTCTCAATGTGGATTCCATCAGTGTTGGGGCTGTGTGGGGGTGCTATGATGTGGAGTGAATCAATGTGGACCTCATTGCAGTGGTCAAACCGGAAATGGAACATTGGGCTGTTCTTGATCGTGAGCTCCCCCACCCTCAATTTTGAGCTTGTGAAGAACCTTAAAGCCTGCTCGCTTAAACAAACAAACAAACAAAAAACAAACCAAATTAACCTTTGATTTTCGGCTTTTCGCTAACTCAATGTGTATATAGATCAAATAGACTCGAGAGTCGGGACCAATCTGACTAAATTTAGAGTGCTGCTCAAATTTAAACGTGCTAAGACACGAGTTCTATCCTAAAAGGTCAATTTGATTAAAAATTTAAAATATCTCTTAAAGTTCATATAGGAATTGAGTTCAACATAGTGAAACAAAAATATATGAGGATAAATTAACAATACATTGTAATTAGGCATGGACCGGTTCCGGTCCAAACCGGGCTTTTATTTTTTGGGGGCGGGCCCGGAACCGGGCCGGTTTGCAACCGGGTCCGGGCCGGTCCCGGGTCAGTTCTTTTTTTTTTTTTTGCTTTTCTAATTAAACCCCCTCACCCCCCCCCCCCCCCTCAAATACCTAGCCCAACCCGGGGAAAACAAAAAAAAATTGAAAAAAAAAAAAAAAATAAATAAATAGGCCCGAACCGGGCCCGGCTAGTTCCAAAGGAAGAGTAGGCCCGGAACCGCACCGCTCTAACACCCCGGGCCGGTTCACCGGAACCGGTCCATGCGTAATTGTAATGAAATAGTTAAATATTGGAGTGTAATATATTATTCATTGTTTGTTTTTAGTTGCAACATGGAAAGTTTTATACTATACACATGATCTACTTTGACTCCATTTTATTTATTATTGTATGAGGCTTATTTTTGGAAAAATATTGTTCAATTCATCTCATTTTAAATTTTCATAATCTGATTTTTATTTTTTTACTAATAGAGAATTAAACACAATTACAATTAGGTAGAAAAAACACACAATTACAATTAAAGCTATGCATTGGCATGTGCGAAAATCGGAATGCTGCTAATATAAAAGAATGGGGGGTTTATATAAGTAAATTTAAAAAAAAAATCAAAACCCATCAATACTGATTCTTAAAATACACATGAATAACTTTATATAATTATTTGTCAAAAAATCGTGTCATTTTCTCAATAGTTCCCAAACAGATGTAAAGTTGTAAATTACACAGTACAAGTAATAACTTATAGGAGTAACTACTAAGTTCTCGTAATTGATAATTACATACTCTCTTCGTCCATTTTTATTTAGTCAAATTTGACTTTTCAAGTTAATGGTGTATAATTTTGACCGATTATATTATACACATAAATATTGATAACATGAAAATGATATGAAAATATTCTTTATCCATAATATTATCATAAATGTATAAAATCATTAAATTTTACATAAATACATTAGCAAAAGAATATAAATGATCATCTTTCATTGAAAAAGTCAAATACAACTAAATAAAAAGGGACTGGAAATATGTATGCATATGTCAACCTAGGTAGCTTTTCTATATATGTACGTACCACTGGGCTGTCACAAGGACCTGGTGGAGTTGTCCCATCTACTCCCTGTTACGTTGTGTTTTCAGAAGAGACAAAACAAGAAAGTCATTTTGGCGTTCTGAAGAAATATACAAATGTCTCATTCTATTAGTGCCTAGAGATAGAGCACCGTACAATTACAAATACTTATGGTGGAATTACCTTGTGGGGTTTGCAGGGAAGGTTCCACCATTTCTCACCTCGGCCGTCAACCACTCCACCACCTCGCATAGACATTCCATTCACTCTGTAGAAAACTAGCCACTGTTTCTTTGTCACATTCTTGGGCCATGAATCCGGTCCATCTGGTGCCATTATGGTGCCCTCAATCTGCACACAAGTACACGAAATTCCTCAACTCTCGGTGACGGAGCCAGAAATGTAGTGTTACAAGAGACAGCTCGGGCACGTCTCAAAATTTTACGTTGCACGCCCAGCCAAAACTTAATGCGTCAACATATTATTGATGAAAAATGTTTGGTGTATACGTTTTTTGTGTACACCTTTGGCATACTTGTTTGTCTATACAGACAACTCTGTGGGGCCCTATACAGACAACTCTGTCTGCGTAGAGAGACAAGTGTGCTGAAAATGTATACTAAAAATTGTACACCAAGCACGGCTCTTTATTGATAGACTATAAATATATTCTTCGTATAAGCGTAAAAAGAACTTGAAAAGATAAAGCCCGGCCCCCTCCGGCCCCTCTCTATCCCCACCACGCGATTGCGCGTGACACGACTTATCTTTCTTTTGAAAGACTAGCACATGACTTATATGTTTTATATATACTTCAATACAACTTTAGATAGCTTAAAAACATAGAAGTCCACTTCATAACACACACTTAAAAATACCTGAAGGGTGAGAGGGTTTTTACAAGGGCCGCTGAAGATGGTTGGTTGGATCAAGAAAAGGAGGTCAACCGGAGCTAGCACGACGGGTGATGATAAGTTGCTTCGGCACGCATCGTCCCAAGCCATCTTGAATGCTGATGTGTCATCCGCAATGCCATCCCCTACGGCTCCATAAGCTAGGACATTGAAGGATAATGATGATGATGATGATGATGATGAGGAGGAGGAGGAGGAGGAGGAATAGCCCTCTCCATCATGGGGTGCAGGTGCAGCCTCGGGTGCAGGGAAAGGGGGCTGCAGAGAATCTCGGCTAACTCGCGACATCACAAATGAAGCTTCCACGGAAATCAAAATAGCCAAAACAAGAACCCACTTGGTGAATAATTCCATTTCTTGCTTCTCTTTTAATAAAAAAAATTATTTCTACTGTTATTAGTGTTACTATATTAATAATAATCCTATATTTCAATTTGTCCGGCCTGGAGAACAATGCAGCATGTGAGGCTGGCTAGATTGATCGTTAGTTGAAGGGCATATATGCATGAATAAGAGGAAGATCGGAGGAGGAGTATCAGTTAATTCTGATTGAATTGGGTAGGTTCATAATTTTATTTAAGGTGCAGTTTCTTATTGGATTGGAAGTTTGTAGTGGTTTTTATAAGAGGAGAATTAAGAGGAGTAGTGAAAATGCAACTTGCGAGTGGTTCGATAGTGGGGGAAACTGCCTTTTGAGGGTTAAGCTCGGCATGCATGCAACTTATGTACTACTCTTAACCTCAATTAATTTCATAATTAGAACTTTCACGATCTTCAATATCCACGTTTGACCGTTTAGATGTAAAAACATATACGCAGTAGTACACTACTTACTACTACTATAAAACTCTATAATAAATTATGGAGTATTACCTCCGTTGCACTAACATTGGGACATAAACGGGTGACACGATTATTAAGAAAAGTGAATTTATATGATTGATATTGAATTGATAATAAAGTAAGAATGATTTAGAGTCACACAAACTTTACCAAATTCGGTATGAGACAATCTTAGTGGGATTTCCCGAAACGAAAAAATTGGACAATCTTAGCGGGGCAGAGGGAGTAATACATACTTCTTCCGTCAAATAAAACTTGGTCATTTTTTTGGTCGTTCCAAAAAACTTTGTCATTTCCATTTAAAATAAGAAATATGTGGTTAAAAATGTTATTTCTCTCTCTTCTGCACAAATTTGGATCACACAATTTTTACTTTATTAATTTACGTGCAAGTCAACTTTGACCAAATTTTGTGGGACAGCGGGGAGTAATATATTGTTTAGTAATTATCCTAAATAAGACTAAATGAAAACATAATTGCAGAAATATGACTAAAACATACTCCCTAAATCATTCACAAATAAGACTAAACATTAATTTTCTACTCTTAATACCCCTAATCTAATTAATTAATTTCCCTCCTAGTTGCCTTGGACAATTGGAGCAATCCGATGATGGAGGGGTAGAGCTCCGGCGAGTCTCCCAGCACGCGTCAAATTGGCATAAACAATTATGAAAATTTTGGCCGGATTATGGCGGCGGCGGATGGGGGAGCTGGGCGCCTGGGCAAAGTCTGGTGGCCTGCAATGGTGGCTAGGCAGTGGAAAGTCCAAAAAAGCTACAAGAAATTCAAAACAGTATATATAGTCCTATTTGTGATTTTAGGCATGTTTTACTCCTATTTAGATAATTCTATTTTTTTTAAATAAATGAATTTGCCAAACTTCTTTACTTTGACAGGGTACAAATATCTCAATTCTCTATTGATAGATATAATTAAGGGGCCAAAGTTAATAAAGCTTGACTCAAAAGTTAAATTGTGAATTTGTTTAAGAACCCGAGGGAATATTCTTTATATTAGTATAGTTATTGTATATTATAAATGTATAATACGAAGTATTAGCTAGTTAAACTAAGAGCATTCTGGTTCCATTTGCAGATAGATGGGTTTTCAGGTAAGTATATGTGGTGGAACTCGGGAGGGTGCTCTGGATGCTGTAAAAATAATTAGAGGCGTAGCGATAGGCATTACTTACGTAGCTTAGATTCAAAGAGAATCTATACCACACTTAAAGAGTTTTTGCCATTGTTTTTTGAAGTGATTTTGGAGAAAATACTTAATATTCACTATGTTCTTTAATATTAGTCCTCTTAGACTTTGACATGGGTTTTAAGAGGAAAGTAACAAGAGTAGTATAAAATGTGTAATGAGTAGTGAGTAAATGAAAAAGTAGAAAAGAGAAAGGGGTAAGTGTAATAAAAGTGAGGGTATAAATGTATATTGATGGTAAAAACTTTCCTTAAATGGAAAGGAAGACAAATAAAAAACAGACCAAAATGAAATGGAGAACTAATACGGAGTAATAAAGAACGGAGAGAGTAGTAAAAGTTGGTACTATTTGAGAAAAAGTTGTTCTGAAAAAGTAAAAGTTTGTTGTGTTTGGTAAAATAAGTGTTTTTTGTGTAATAGAGAAAGTGAAAAGCAGTTCAAAGCACCCTTATACGGTTCTACCTGCTTTCAGATTTTAAGTGATTAATTTAAGCAGGAGCTGTCATTTGAAAACACTCATTTCAACTTTTTTTTAAGTCAAAAGCTGAAAAACACTTTATTTAATCATTAGCAAGCACTCCCTTATAATGGCTCCAGACTCAAGTTTGGGACAAATTAATTTATTCATAGATTTAATTTGTTAGTGTAATTTTTTTGTTTCCCAATTTAGCCAACCTTCTAATTACTTTTAGCCTACTATCTATTACTCCCTCCGTCTCAATTTGATGACTTGATTGCGGTTTATTAGGTTTGATCGACGATAAAGCTAACAGATTCCTATCCACACTCAATTTCTTTTAGTAAAAAAATTTATATATTCATCAACCACATTAACAAATTACATATTCCAGTTAGTATTCATTTTCAATCTAGTTCATTCTGATTTCTAGATTTGCCCCTCCTTAGCTTTGTAAAAAAGATAACGAGCTGAGGCTTCCATCAAGATGATGACTAATAACCGTTCCAAACACCAAAGGAACTCAATGAAATTCCTTAGGTACCATATCATTAACTATTCATGTTTAAATTAGTTCATGCGTCCCAATATCAACTCCATTTTCAGCCAAGGAAAATGATAATGTTTTTGGATTTAATATACCAAACTCTCTCGTGCTATATAAATTCATTGGGATAAAAGAGCAATTAAAACTCATATTTTTGAAATATAAAACATACATTTCTATTTTTAAACTTTTGAAATACTCTGAAGCTATTTGGAGCAATATCAATATGGGAAAGATAGAGAAAATGTTCCAAATAGATGTAAAGCTAAACAATACTTAACGTTACCTTTCTGTTTTTGCAAGGGCTATTTTTTTCAAACACACATGATTACTCATAGATATTTAAGGATTTTAAAACAAAGACCTATAGTGGTTTCAAGGAAACCATTAACATCACCTTGGTTTTGTACACTCTTATAAGGACTTACCCCAAACAGTGGAGGCTTGAGAATGGCCTTTAATTTGATCCACCAAAGCTACAATCATACACAAACAGTTAAACACAAACCAATTTGGAGCAATGCCTATCCAGTGAAGCTAAGAGTGTATTTGGTTTGGGTAACCTTCTTGCGCCTCAATCTCATTCTTTTCAAGATACGGAGTATCTCTAAGCAACAAACTAAATTTGCAAATTGCAATCAATCAAGTGGCTTTGCAATCACCTCAAGTGGTCTGAAATATGTGATTTCAATATTTTGTTATTATACGGCTGCTATGTTGGTTAAAGGGTAAAAATTGCTTTCAAGTTTGTTTGAGAGAAGGATCTAAATTAAGATGTAGTTGTTCCCAGTTCTACTCCTCAAAGAATGGGGTCGTTTGACAATCAACTGTTGGCTGTTAACATATAATCAAATTATATTGGTTGTTCGATATTAGCAAATTTTGCTAGCTATTTTAACCAATCTCTATCATCAGCGAATCTAAATAAAGTGTCTGATAACTTAGTTGTTCACAATTAGATGTTAAGACGCAAAATGACTATTAAAGATACTGATACAAAATATATAAATTTAACTTAGCCTTTTATTTTTGATAAGCACAGTAACCATTATTTTGTATAATCACTATTATTATTTTTAATATACATAAATGCTCTGGAACATTACGTAGTATTATTTTTAACTATTATATACGGAGTATACAAAAGTTCATGTGTTTTTAGTATTAATATTTTGAATATTACAACGTATTATTTTTAGTAACTTTTAAAAATAAATAATATTACTCCCTCAGTCCCATTTTGTATGATATCTTTCCTATTCACTTGGTCAACACAAATCACTCTTAATCCATTACTTTATATATCAAATTTTTATCAAATTTGTTTCTAGTTTTTGAGACTTTATTTGTAAACCTTTTAATGTGGTTTCTGAATATGTAATTCCTTTTTTCTAAAAATAATTTGAGTGCGGACAGGGATCCATTTGCTTTATCGACATCAAACATCGTAAACTGTAAAGTGTCTTACAATTCGGGACGGAAGGAATATAAATTGAAATTATATTCATGATGCTCTATTGTCGGTGTTATTATGTCGTTGTAATTATTTTTCATTGTATTTCATATTTTGAATAATTATAAAGTAATTAACGAGAGGGTTAAAACGGAAGGGTATATTAAGATTTTAAATAATAATATTGAAAAGTCATTGTAAAAAACTACTGAGAGTGGACTTTTCGGTTTTCGTTTTTTCGTAACAAACAGTCAAATGAAAAAGTTGTTTACCAAACATATATAGGGAGTGTTTGCAACTGCTTCTGCTTAAAAAAAGTACTTTTGGAGAAGTAATGAAAAAGTGATTGATAGTAAAAGTTGATAGTGTTTGAGAAAAAAGTGATTTTGAAAAGTAAAAGTTGGTAGTGTTTGGTAAAATAAGTGCTTTTTGTGTAATAGAAAAGGGAAAAGCACTTTTCACACGCAAGCCGAGAAAAAGTAAAAATTGGTAGTGTTTGGTAAATAAGTGCTTTTTAAAGCCAAAAGCTGAGAAGTGCTTTTTTTTAAGCAGTTGCAAACACTCCCATAATAGCCTTTTGGTAAAGTCAAACAACCAAAATCACTCCAAAAAGTAAAAAAACACCATTAACCAAAACTCCCA